AGGAGCATGAAGGCAGCTATAAACCTCCCCTCGGACAAAAATGAGCCCGCAGAAGAAGAAGAAGAGACAGCATCCTACAACATGTCCTACTACGAGGTAACATTTGTGCCGTCCGGTGGTGAACTTCTCGACATTTACTCTAACTCTATTCACTGACAGTTCTTTCTTCTTTTTTTTTTTTCTCTCTCTCTCTATCTGCAGCACATTTTTCTGGACTATGACCTAAATGACACAGGTTCGGGTTCCGGTTCTGGTTCTGGTGATCTCGGAGTGGACTTGGATGAGCCGTGCGAGGTAGAGCATGTGATGACCACTGAGCTCCAGCAGATTTTCCTGCCGGTGGTGTATGCTCTGATCTTCGCTCTGGGCATTGCAGGAAATGGCCTGGTGGTCATTGTGCTCGGCTGCCAGCGCAGGTAAAAAAAAAAAAAAAACGAGAGATTTTTCTAAATGGCGTTGATGGAGACGGTCCGACGTCACAGCTTCTGCGGTAAACGTTTGTGCGTATTTCTCTTCCCAGATCCAAATGCAGCCTTACGGACCGGTATCGCCTCCACCTTTCGGCTGCCGACCTCCTTTTCGTCCTGGCTTTGCCCTTCTGGGCTGTGGATGCCGGTCTGTCCGACTGGAGATTCGGAGCAGCCACCTGCATCGGTGTCCATGTGATTTACACTGTCAATCTGTACGGCAGTGTCCTCATCCTAGCCTTCATCAGCCTGGACAGATACCTGGCAGTGGTCAGAGCCACAGACACCAACACTGGAGGACTGAGGCAGCTGCTGGCCCACAGACTAGTCTATATAGGTGAGGAGTGAAAGATAGATCCTGTCCTTTACTCTCGTCTCCTCTCCTCTTCACTCCTGTCCTCTCGTCTTTTCTTCTGTTTTCTCCTCTCCTCTCCTGTTCTCTTCTCTCCTCTCCTGTCCTGTCCTCTCCTCTTCTCTCCTGTCCTGTCCTCTCCTTTACTGTTCTGTTCTCTCCTTTCCTCTCCTCTTTTCTTCTGTCTTCTCCACTCATCTCCTCTAATCTCATCTCCTTTTCATTCCTCTCTTCTTCACTCCTGTCCTCTCTTCTTTTCTTCGGTTTTCTCCTCTCCTGTCCTGTCCTCTTCTCTCCTGTCTTGTCCTCTCCTTTACAGTTCTGTTCTCTCCTTTCCTCTCCTCTTTTCTTCTGTCTTCTCCACTCATCTCCTCTAATCTCATCTCCTTTTCATTCCTCTCTTCTTCACTCCTGTCCTCTCTTCTCCTCTTCTGTTCTCTCCTCTCCTCTTCTATTTTCTCCTTCTCTTTCCCCACTTCACCTCAACGCTCCTATCCTCTCTTCTCCTTTTCTGTCGGAACAAATTTGAAGTCTTTTACTTTATGAAGCTGTGTATCATTTATGCTCTGTGAAAATTTGAAATTGTGGCTACACAAACTTAATAATAATACAGCAAATCAGGCAGGACAGAGATCAAAACCTCGTAGTATTCACTAGAACTGCAACATTTGGTATTCGTAATAAATGAAATGACCCGGTTTTAACCCCATATTCTGACCTTTATCAAAATTAATACACACAAATGTTTGTTTACTATCAAATATTTATTGTTTATTACCAATTACTATCATTATGTCTAAGTTAATTAATGTAATTACAATGTATTTACACTCTGAGTGTACAATCTGAGTTGTGTTTTCAGTATATACATTCTTTTGTGTGTACTATATATATATGGAATATTTGGCTACATTTGAGTCTCAAACATTGTGTCTTCTTCCTCAGGTGCCTGGTTGCCGGCAGCCTTGTTGGCTATACCGGACTTGATCTTCGCCAGAACTCAAGAGGGGGGAGAAGGAGCCACTCTGTGCCAACGCTTCTATCCGGCCGGTAACGCTCCACTCTGGGTGGCCGTCTTCCACCTCCAGCTGGTCTTCGTTGGACTGGTGATCCCTGGTTTAGTGCTGCTGGTGTGTTACTGTGTCATCGTCACCAGGTTGACCCGGGGCCCACTGGGGGGCCAGAGGCAAAAGCGCAGGGCGGTCCGAACGACCATTGCGCTGGTGCTCTGCTTCTTCGTGTGCTGGCTGCCCTACGGAGCGGGCATCTCAGTGGACGCCTTGCTGCGTCTCGAGGTCCTGCCTCGCACTTGCAGCCTGGAGGCAGTTTTGGGCGTTTGGTTGGCAGTGGCGGAGCCCATGGCCTTTGCTCACTGCTGCCTGAACCCGCTGCTTTACGCGTTTTTGGGGGCCGGGTTTAAGAGCTCAGCTCGCAGGGCCCTCACTCTCAGCCGTGCCTCCAGTTTGAGGATTTTACCGAGAAGAAAAGCCGGGGCCTCCACCACTACTGAGTCGGAGTCTTCCAGTTTACATTCCAGCTAGTGTTGACATCAACTGATGCCACTACAATGTGTGTAAATTCTTTTGTGTATATGTATGTGTGTACTTTATATATTGTGTTGCATTGTTGTATATATTGTTTTTAGTTGTTTATCAAAATGTATAACAAAGTTAGAAGGTCTGCTGGTCATGACATGGCTTCTTTACTGTGACATTTTCACCTGTAAGTAATCACTGTGTGTTTATAATAAAACATTACAAAATGGTAATTTAAGTGTATTTTTTTTTATTATCAACTTCCGTATGTTTACCGTAATTTCCGGTCTATAAGCCGCTACTTTTTTTCACACGCTTTGAACCCTGCGGCATAAACAATGATGCTAATGATGGACTAGCGAAGTTCATACCGCTAGCGACCGATGACTTTTCTGGTAGGCTACTGTGTCTTATACTAGCAGCGTATATCTGTCTGTGAATAGCAGTGTACGTATATGTGTGTAGGGTGCATTTATTTAATTAAAAGTTTTAGAAAAAATGTTTCTGTGTAAATATCCCATGTTACAACGTGGACACCTGCGGCTTATAGAGAAGTGCAGTCTATTTATGTACTTTTTTCATAGACGGTTTTCCGATAATCATTATTACCCATGATGCATCGCGCCGTCGGCCATGTTGTGATAATGATAACAAAAGACAACAACATTAAATCACCGGAGGTAGATGAGACATATAAATTGTTGTATGGAGATCCACTAGACACAATAACAAAGGCAAGATACGTGGACAAGTTGAAAATAATTGATGGAAAAGACCCATTACAAAGCTGAGTGGAAGCGGGCGGACATTGTAAGTTAGCCAGACAATGTATATCATATGGTGTTTATTAACACGCAAACAATACAACGTGTTAATGTAAAAATCACAGTGGCGTGTACGGATGTATATCTTATGTGAACATCATTGGAATAAGAGTTTACATGAAAAATCTATCGTTAAAGAACGAATAGTTCTTTAACTCACGGACAGTAGTTATTTATCACAGGAAATATATTTCAGATCAATTTTTTTTTTGTGTGTGTGTGTTTTTGTAAAACACAAGGTGTTTTACAAAAACACGTTTTAAAAAGAATTAACCCAAAAGAAAACAAATAAGTAAATTCTTTAAAAAAATTCCATTCTGGAACTCCATCATATTTTGGTGATTTTCCCCCCAGTGATTATGATTATGATTTTTTTTTTTTACACAAGTACATTAAGCATTTTATCGCATAACCATTGTCAGTCTGGATTTGGTTTTATCTGAGGTCATTCAAACAGTGAAAAGCAGTAACTACGATATGATAACCAGACGTAGGGCACTTAAACAGATCTAAGTGTGTGGGTGTATGTGTCAGTAAGTGAAGTGGCATGTTTGTGTGCGCGGATATGTTTGTCTTGTCGTTTCGAGGATGCGGGTTAATGATATAAACAGTTTGCATCTACGTGGTCGCAGGCTCCGATTTCTCAGTGTTTTCACACATTCACAACAAAGTGGTTTTCACATATTTACTTCCACTGGGAAGTGGGAGAAACAGAAGCTGGAAGTTTGCTGTGTCCCCTTTTCCTGAGGGGGGAAAAGGGAGGGAGGGGAAAGGAAAAGGGGACTTGATGATGAATAAAGGAACAATCAATTGAATTGGTGCACAGTCAGAGTGTGATCAGAAGTGTATGAATCAATGTGATGAATGTGAGAACATATTAACGAACATCTAGACATCAACATGGTTTGATTCAAATTAGCTATGGCTCCTTCTTTCCAGTGTCAACAAACACTTAAACTCACACACACACACACATAATAATTCACCTCTATTCATAGTTGTTTCCAAACAGGAAAGACTTCCTGCAGCTCATTTTAGGAAAAGCATGCGGTTAAAACAATCGCACAGGGGAGCGACTCCACACGGGCAAAAAACAGAAAACGCAGAGTGACGGCAGCTGCTGTGAAGTAAATCACTTCAGCAACAATCAGGACACGCTGAACGAGCCACAGCCAGGTTCATGTCTACTTTCAAAAGTGCACAAGGGTTTGTAGCACTGTTAGCTTTCTTTATTTTCCAAAATAAAAATAAACATTTATCATCAGAAAGTTATACGAAATACAACTCTTCAGTCCAGGGGAAATTTGTATTTGTCGATACCGAATCTACAATTTTGTATAGGAGGATAATACAACACAAAATAATGTGCGTTAGGTGATTCATTTTTTATTAAGGAAAAATCAGAACTAGGGAGTATGCGTGCGTATAGTCACAGCAAGCAGTATTTATTGAAATACAGCTTTGTACTTGTACAAGGTTCTACTCTGAAGCGCGTGTACACGTCACATGTACACAGAACATGACTGTTTTGGAACCACAAGTGCATATCAGAATTGATTTATCTTATTGTATTCTAAAAAATGGGAATACCATTGGCGTTTTTTTTTTTTAATTTAGGCAAAACTAAAAGCAACAATAGGCAGGATAAACATGTTTTTTAAAAAATGATTTAACTGCTATGTTTATGTCATAACGACAGCATAGTACATAAGAGTAGTATATAAGTATATTATTAGGGCATTAGTAAGTTTGACAACGTCTGTCTTTTTTCTGGCAGTCGGCCCTATTAAACATTTGAGTGTGTGTACAAGAATACGAGTGGGGGTAAGTTGACCTCAGTACCATCGCCACCTGCGCGATGATCCGGCCAACAGTAACTCAGAAACAGGGAGTATGTCCATGCAATTGTCAAGGTCTTTTACAGGAACTGAAGAAAAGATAATGAGTAGCATCTCCCATCACTGGCTAGCACGCATTAGTACTGGCTGGTCGTTTCAGTGTTTTTCCACTGACTACGTGAGTTTCAATAATAGAAGTCAAATGGTGGACATTAGGCCTATTTGTTTATGTTAAAAAAAAATCTGATTTGTCTACATCTACTTTAATTTCTTGAAAAATTTCTATTATGGAAATCCTAAAAATAACCCTGTCTAAACAAGCTTTATGGTATTGATACCCTTGCTGTGAATATACACGTAAACATATTTGTGTGTGTGTGTGTATGAGTGTTCACCAACAGATGGTCCGGTTCCCACCTGATACTCAGACAGGCTCTGCTTCCTGCCTCCAAACAATCGTGGGAACACAAAAGGTCAAGACAAAAGGGGAAAAATAAGACAGAGGACAAACTGGTCTACGTCCAAATGGTCTGGCAATAACTTCCTGCTTCGTCCCTGGTGGTGTCATTCAGTGTTACAGGTGAAACCAATAGCCTGCTGAGTGGATTTGTATGAAGCACAGCAGGCTGAGAGTGAGGATGACATGGGAACAGAAATGGGTTGTAATACCAGTAATCTTGCTGTAACGCAGGCATGGGCTAACGTTTTGACTCGCAAGCCACAATTGTCTTAAAATTGAATGGGGGGCCGGGTTAGGGGCAGATAGATGGAGTGTTTCTATATGAACTAAGATAAATGACATGTAAAAGTCATACATAAAGGCGAAAATGGTATTATCATTTTCTCCGCCATCTATTGGAGAAACGTGGGTATTGCAGGGGAAATATAGTATAATGGTAATATAAATATAATATAATAATATAATATATTATTTGGAAAGGTTTGGTGGGCCGGATTAAAAAGCTAAACGAACCGCATCCAGCCCCGGGCCTTAGTTTGCCCATGCCTGCTCTAACGTGTCTCCAAATTGGCGTCTGTTTCACAAATCTATTTATTCTTTACAGTCACTTAAAAAAAACTACCATACGCATACATTGGACAAAATAAAAACATTTTAGGTAATGTATTAAAAGTTTAAAAATAAGTATAATAAGTATGTTATAGCAGTCGTTATTAATTAAATTTGAATTCATTGTTAAATGTAATAAATTAAAATTAATGAATTTTTTTATTACCAGTGGTATCACAACAGTTGCTTGTAAATACGCAGTTTGACAAATTATTGTAAATAAAATAAGATACTGTTTATCACTTATGCAGTATTGACTGGGAGCGGACACTGAAGTTTGTCTTTTGTACGAGTTGTCCTTCTAGTGGTCGATCAAAGAAACTACACTTCATATCAACACTTCAAGAGTTCAACGACTTTTTTGTGATATATGCTTTAATGTGACATTATAATGTAGGTGAGCGGTTAAACGACTCTGGGGCAGTTTCCGAATTTCACAAGAAAGGCGGTTTTTAAATTAAGTTGTACATAAACGCAGTTATTGGCCACACTGTGCGCAGAAAAGCTTACCCAAAATATTAGCCTACAGGCTAGGAGGGTAGCTTATACCAAAATAAAAACACTGCGCATGTGCGCCAAACTGTGGAGCGTTCATGGCGTCAGAAAGTGCAACTGTAGCACACAGAATAGTAATTTTAAGGAAACAAATCTTAGCCTACAGCATAGGAAGGCAACAATACCAAAATAAAAACACTGCGCATGTGCACCAAGCTGTGGAGTGTTTGGGGTAGTCAGAAAAGTGCAACCGCAGCACACATGATAGTCATTTTAAGAAAAATAAATCTTAGCCTACAGGCTAGGAAGGCAGCTAATGCCAAAATAAAAACACTGCGCATGTCCGGCAAATTGTGGAGCGTTCAGGGCAGTTAGAAAAGTGCAACCGCAGAATAGTCATTTAAAGGAACCTCTTCTTTCAATCACACAACGTCATAACCCAATGTCTTAAAATATTAAATTTTATTTTTTACAAGCTCTGGGTATTACTAAATAAAATATGCTAGAGAACTTAGTTCCTAAGACTAATGTTTCCTCTCTGTCATCTTGGTGAACTGTTGCAACAGGAAGTGCTACATGGTAAAAGGGGGCGGGACGAAATTGCCGTCTACCCTGCGTTCGGGTACGACGCTTGACTATTTGCATGTCCACTCTGATTGGATAGCAGCGGCGCGCCAAACGTCACGTGGTCTCGGTTTTCGCGCGAAAGCCTCCAGCACAGTCGTGTGGAGAGACGTTGTCGTGTTTCTCTAACGACTTTCACATACTTTTAAACTCCACTTTATCGGAATCTTTCATTGTAATTATCATAATATTACAGCATGGACGTGGCAGCAGCAACTGCAACGGCAGAAAATGGCAGGGAGATGGTGAAGGACGAGTTAGCGGAGAAATGCCAGAAGTTGTTCCAGGCTTTTCTAGAAGAGTAAGTCAACCACTCACTTGGGTGCCTCGGTGGAGCTTTGTTGTCTGCCAGGTCAATGGCGATTGTTGTAATTTTCCCCTTTAAAGTACTTTCCCCTCCTCTTTTTTTTATCCCCTTTAAAGTACTTTCCCCTTCTTTTTTAAAAAAATTTAAGTTATTCTTTTTCGTGTGATACTTATATCTTTTTTTGCCCATGTGTTTTATTTATTAGTCAGTAACTATATTTTGCTTCCACGTTCCTGTGCAGGTTTCGGGCGGGTGATGGAGAGGTCAAGTATGTACGTGAGGCGGAGGAGCTGATCAGACCTGAGAAAAACACCCTGCTAGTCAGCTTTACAGATCTGGAAGGTTTTAACCAAGAGCTGGCCACTACCATCCAGGAGGAGTACTACAGGTGAGTCCGCCTTACCAGAAGTTAAAAAGACAACAACAACAACAAAATGATTTGATACATTATTTAGTTGTCTGAACCACTGAACCATGCGTTTTAGGCACAAGACAGACTGCAAATGTGTCCATTATTCTGTAAAATAAAATGTTATAAATTATATAATTTATTTATATTATAATATATAATATATACTTCTGCCTTTTCCCTGCAATACCCACGTTTCCCCAATAGATGGC